TTTCTATCTTTTTTATTGCTCTATCTCTGTCTCTACAGCTCCTGGGACATTTGTTTCATATCACTTCTTTTCGTGTCCAAAACTTTCCTACTTCCATTCCCATCCACTCTGTGACTCTCTCCCCTTTCACTCCTTTCTAGAGAATCCTATCTCCCTAACCCCTCTTTTTGCACCTATTTCTCCATTTTATTTGTTACCTCCATTCCTTCTTTCCTCGTATACATATTTCCATCACCTTACTTCTGGGCCTCTACTTTCTCCATCACCTCACCTCCGGGAGCGTCGTCCAAGTCGCTGCAGTAGTCCACATCAGAAATCATTACAGGAGTTCCCTTTTAGAGTCAAAGACATGAGAGCGATAGTGAGTGTAGTAGTGCTCGGAACGGTTTGTAGTAGCCATAGAAGGTGTCGAAACCCCTCATGGTGGGGGTGTAGTCCCATGAGCAGAACCCAAGATGCCATCTGTCGTGATGAAGATGAGAAAGGGTAAACCCTTCTACAGACACTTCCTCCCCCCAATACCCCCACTTAAATAATTTCTCACTAATAACTCCTAAAGTAAAATGCCTCCCACTAACAAGCCCCCTTTTATGTAAATTTCCCTCCCTAGGGCATCGCCCTCCTCTGTGTATTATTACTCTGAGGACTAATCTTGGATGAGTGGGGTCTGAGGGCACTTGCCTTTCTCCTCAACGCTTTTTTCCCTCCCACTTTAGGACCTGAGGATATTCCCTTTGGGTTGGTTAGCCAGCCTCATCTATCCATTTGCTGCCTGAGTAGGTAGGTGTGTGGGTGTGATGTATGTCTATATTTTGTATATGTGTATTTTGTGTGGGGGTAACGGGGGTGTCCTTTATGGCTCTTTAAAGAGGGGATGGGACACCCGGGGCTGATCCTACTCGTCCATACATACTCAGTTCTAACTTACTTTTCGCAAAACAAAAAAAGTGCTCCCGTTGTAGAGAAGGGGAAAGGGAAAATGAGTCTTAAAAATCATTTGGAAAAGTACGAGAGGGTGGAAAAAAGGTATCATTCTCAGGTGAAAAACAGTTGAAGGAGGAACAAGGTGTCCCTCTGATAAAGTAGATAAGTAGTTTCTCTGTAAAGTTTAAAAAAACTGGGAAGGGGAAAAAAAAATTTTGAAAGAGTTTTAGAGTATTGAGAAGGGTAAAATTCTATTAATTATAAATGGATCAATTTATATAAACCAAAGGAAATTTTCCCATATTATTGTCAAAACATGCTTTTTATGAAACAAGATTCAATTATATTCCTGTCGACCATGGACTTGCTTGATACTACTTTCTCAACTTTTTTGAAAATCAATTGGATGGTTAAAATCTCTTATATGAATAAATAGAGCATTGGAATCTTGTCCAGTTCTAATGCTATATTTATGTTGTTTTAATCTTAGTTCGCGATTTTACCAGTTTGACCGTAATAAACTTTATCGCAAATTTTACAAGGAATCTTATAGACACATCCATCAGCATTTTGGGGGAATTCTTTATCAAAAGTTTTTTTTACTGTATCAAGATTTTTGAATAAAAACTTTAATATTAAAAGTCTTAAGAAGAGAAGGCATATCAACCAAGTTTTCATGGTAAGGGAGAACCAACATATTTTTAGTTGAATAAGGCTGGTTGTCCCTTTTTTTTATTGTAAAAAGTATTTTTAGCAACTTTAAAAGATTTATCAATTACATTTCTTGGGTATTTTAAATCATTACCTATTTCATAAATTTTGGATATTTCCTCATCTATGAACTCAGGACTACAAATTCGTAAAGCTGTCAAAAACATTGATGAGAAAACAGACAGTTTGACTCTATCTTGATGCGAAGAATAATAGTGGACATAGGAACAGTTATTTGTAGGTTTTCTGTAAATTTTAAATTTGAATTCATTATTACCCTTAATAATTAAAACATCTAGAAAAGGTATTGAGTTATTTTCTTCAAACTCAACAGTAAAGTTTATGGAATGGGCTAAGCTATTTAATTTTCCAAGGAAATGTTGTGCAAAGGACCTGTCCAGTTGGGTCGGCGCGCATCAGGTGTTTAACCGTTGTGGGATCTGATAGTGAGGTGTTGGCCAGACCCCCTTATATACCTTCCTTGGATGCTTTACTTTCATAGTTCCTTGATAATGTGAGTAGTCACGAAAGCGCTTGGAATTTCTCTATTCTTTCAGAGTGGTTGTTTTGCATATTCTGAAATCACCTGTTTACTGTGATCTTATTGCATATATATATATATAATATATATATATATATATATATATATAATATATATATATATATATATATATATATATATATATATAATATATATTTTCCTTTTTTTATTAACACACTGGCCGATTCCCACCAAGGCAGGGTGGCCCGAAAAAGAAAAACTTTCACCATCATTCACTCCATTTCTGTCTTGCCAGAAGGGTGCTTTACACTACAGTTTTTAAACTGCAACATTAACACCCCTCCTTCAGAGTGTAGACACTGTACTTCCCATCTCCAGGACTCAAGTCCGGCCTGCCGGTTCCCCTGAACCCCTTCATAAATGTTACTTTGCTCACACTCCAAAAGCACGTCAAGTATTAAAAACTATTTGTCTCCATTCACTCCTATCAAACACGCTCACGCATGCCCGCTGGAAGTCCAAGCCCCTCGCACACAAAACTTCCTTTACCCCCTCCCTCCAACTTTTCCTAGGCCGACCCCTACCCCGCCTTCCTTCCACTACAGACTCATACACTCTTGAAGTCATTCTGTTTCGCTCCATTCTCTCTACATGTCCGAACCACCTCAACAACCCTTCCTCAGCCCTCTGGACAACAGTTTTGGCAGTCCCGCACCTCCTCCTAACTTCCAAACTACGAATTCTCTGCATTATATTCACACCACACATTGCCCTCAGACATGACATCTCCACTGCCTCCAGCCTTCTCCTCGCTGCAACATTCATCACCCATGCTTCATACCCATACAGGAGCGTTAGTAAAACTATACTCTCATACATTCCCCTCTTTGCTTCCAAGGACAAAGTTCTTTGTCTCCACAGACTCCTAAGTGCACCGCTCACCCTTTTCCCCTCATCAGTTCTATGATTCACCTCATCTTTCATAGACCCATCCGCTGACACGTCCACTCCCAAATATCTGAATACATTCACCTCCTCCATACTCTCTCCCTCCAATCTGGTATCCAATCTTTCATTACCTAATCTTTTTGTTATCCTCATAACCTTACTCTTTCCTGTATTTATTTTCAATTTTCTTCTTTTACATACCCTACCAAATGCATCCACCAACCTCTGCAACTTCTCTTCAGAATCACCCAAGAGCACAGTGTCATCAGCAAAGAGCAACTGTGACAACTCCCACTTTATGTGTGATTCTTTATCTTTTAACTCCACACCTCTTGCCAAGACCCTCGCATTTACTTCTCTTACAACCCCATCTATAAATATATTGAACAACCACGGTGACATCACACATCCTTGTCTAAGGCCTACTTTTACTGGGAAATAATCTCCCTCTTTCCTACATACTCTAACTTGAGCCTCACTATCCTCGTAAAAACTCTTCACTGCTTTCAGTACCCTACCTCCTATACCATACATCTGCAACATCTGCCACATTGCCCCCCTATCCACCCTGTCACACGCCTTTTCCAAATCCATAAACGCCACAAAGACCTCTTTAGCCTTATATAAATACTGTTCACTTACATGTTTCACTGTAAACACCTAGTCCACACACCCCCTACCTTTCCTAAAGCCTCCTTGTTCATCTGCTATCCTATTCTCCGTCTTACTCTCAATTCTTTTAATAATAACTCTACTATACACTTTACCAGGTATACTCAACAGACTTATCCCCCTATAATTTTTCCACTCTCTTTTGTCCCCTTAGCCTTTATACAAAGGAACTATGCATGCTCTCTGCCAATCCCTAGGTACCTTACCCTCTTCCATACATTTATTAAATAATAGCCCAACCACTCCAAAACTATATCCCCACCTGCTTTTAACATTTCTAACTTTATCCCATCAATCCCAACTGCCTTATATACACACACACACACACACACACATATATATATATATATATATATATATATATATATATATATATATATATATATATATATATATATATATATATATATATATATATATATACACATATATATACCCTGCCTCGGTGGGAGACGGCCGACTTGTTGAAAATATATATATATATATATATATATATATATATATATATATATATATATATATATATATATTATATATATATATATATATATACCCCTTCTCCTGTATATATTACTAAATTTAAAAGAAGAACCTTTTCTTTTTTTCTTTTGGGCCTCCCCGCCTCGGTGGGATACTGCTGGTACGTTGAAAGAAAGATATATATATATATATATATATATATATATATATATATATATATATATATATATATATATGTTGTGCCGAATATGTAAAACTGGTCAATTAGCAAGAACTCATTTAAAATTAAGTCCTTTCTAAAATTTTCTCTTATACGTTTAAAGATATATTTTTTTCATTAATGTTGATGTTAAAAATTATAATTTTGCACCAAAAGGAACTTAGGATACTTACCTAACCTTATTATAACAAGCGCAATTTATTTTAGCCTAACCCTACTAAATATATTTTAGATTTTTTTACAATAATTTAATACTAAAAAAACACAATCATATATATATTTTTTCGTTAGGTTCAGAATGATTTTGGCAAAATTATTGCATACACAAATTTTCACTTGTCCTATATGGCAAGATGAACGTTGCTATTTAAGCCAAGATCGCAAGTTCTGCCTATTCGGCACGACATATATATATATATATATATATATTTTATATATATATATTATAATATATATATATATATAATATATATATATATATATATATATATATATATATATATATATATATATACACTCTTTAAGGTATTGTGTATAATTTACCGTAGAGTAGACACCATCCTGGCTACTGTCCGGGGTTGTGTTGTTCCTCAAGTCCAGCCAGTTATGTCCTTCCTTACCTAGGTGAAAGAGATGCGTTAATGGTGATATATTTATCTTTCTCTTTCTATCTCTGTTTATTGCTCTATCTCTGTCTCTACAGCTCCTGGGACATTTGTTTCATATCACTTCTTTTCGTGTCCAAAACTTTCCTACTTCCATTCCCATCCACTCTGTGACTCTCTCCCCTTTCACTCCTTTCTAGAGAATCCTAATCTCCCTAACCCCTCTTTTTGCACCTATTTCTCCATTTTATTTGTCTACCTCCATTCCTTCTGCCTCGTATACATATTTCCATCACCTTACTTCTGGGCCTCTACTTTCTCCATCACCTCACCTCCGGGAGCGTCGTCCAAGTCGCTGCAGTAGTCCACATCAGAATCATTACAGGAGTTCATTTTAGAGTCAAAGACATGAGAGCGATAGTGAGTGTAGTAGTGCTCGGAACCGGTGTAGTAGCCATAGAAGGTGTCGAAACCCCTCATGGTGGGGGTGTAGTCCCATGAGCAGAACCCAAGATGCCATCTGTCGTGATGAAGATGAGAAAGGGTAAACCCTTCTACAGACACTTCCTCCCACCAATACCTCCCACTTAAATAATTTCTCACTAATAACTCCTGAAAGTAAAATGCCCTCCCACTAACAAGCCCCCTTTTATGTAAATTTCCCTCCCTAGGGCATCGCCCTCCTCTGTGTATTATTACTCTGAGGACTAATCTTGGATGAGTGGCGTCTGAGGGCACTTGCCTTTCTCCTCAACGCTTTTTTCCCTCCCACTTTAGGACCTGAGGATATTCCTTAGGGTTGGTTAGCCAGCCCTCATCTATCCATTTGCTGCCTGAGGTAGGTAGGTGTGTGGGTGTGCATGTATGTCTATATTCGTATATGTGTATGTGTGTGGGGGTAACGGGGGTGTCCTTTATGGCTCTAACGAGGGGATGGGACACAGGACTGATCCTACTCGTCCCATACATACTCAGTTCTAACTTACTTTTCGCAAATCAAACAAGTGCTCCTGTTGTAGAGAAGGAAGGAATATGAGTCTTAAGAATCATTGGAAGAGTACGAGAGGGTGAAATGAAGGTATCATCTCATCAGGTGAAAAACAGTTGAAGGAGGAACACAGGTGTCCCTCTGATAAAGTAGATAAGATAGTTATCTCTGTAAAGTAAAGAGCTGGGAAGGGGAAAAATTATGAAAGAGATTTTAGAGATATTGAGAAGGGTAAACTTTATCGACCGACAGATTATTTATGTTGGTATATATGTCGTGCTTTTTAAACAGAACTTATAATATTGGTTAATTAAAACAATGATTGTTATGAACCTGTGTGTTTGCGTAAGGTCACTAACAAATACATTATGAACACTCACTTGCCGACGGCGTGAGTTTGGTAACCAACATCCTTCAGCGCCTGCGGGAGGAGCTTCAACTGCAGGTCAAGACCCACGGGTTCTGCAGGCTGCAGGACGCTGTGCTGAAGGAGAGAACCTAGAATCGTCATGTAATTCCTCCACCTATGTGTTTCTATGTATACTTCAGTTTACTGGAGTAAGAGATATGGGAAGAAGTGCAAGATAAGCCCAGTGAAAAGCAGGGGCGCAGTGAGCACAATAAGGGAACATATTATCAACATTCGTAGTCCCAAATTATTCAACATGTTACCAGAAGATGTCAGAAACACTGCTGAGACTAGTATAGAAGCCTTCAAGAGGAAACTGAACAAGTATCTTCACCAGGTGCCAAATTAACCAGGCTGTGATAAATACATGGTTCTGCGGGCCGTAAACGGCAAACAGTTGACCAGGCAAACACCAGACGAACCTGGTCCATGGCCGAGCTCCGGGAGTAGAAAAACTGTCAACAGAAGGGATTGGATCCCAATGTTTTGGCGACAGTATTATAGACAACACACTTTGCAGAAAACTTTTACTGGGACAATGCTTCGCTTTGTGTAGAACTTTATCAATTTAAGTGAAATATTGTCCCAGTAATAGCTTAGTCTGCAACTGTTCTTCCGACAGAAAATGATGTAATGATCCACTGCTTGCTGACAGTGGAAGGTTAGTGATCCCGGGTCCCTCTACCTGCCACTGGTCAAGGAAATAGTGACCCCTTCACCCGACAGTGAAGATAAGTGGCCCTAGACGTACCTGCCTACTGATAGTGAAGGAAAGTGGCCCCAGACGCACCTGCCTACCGATAGTGAAGGGGTAGCGACCGGAGAGGAGAGCGGAGCGGGTGGGGGTGCAGACAGGCTGGACGTAGGACTGCTCCAATATGATACCACCTCGGGCAAGGGACTCCAGGTGTGGCGTCAACACCTGGGGGTTGTGCCACGACACGTCGTTCCAACCTGCCCAAGGTCACACTAGGTCACAACACATGTCGCTCAAGGTAAACTCAAGGTTACTGGGTGTAAGCTGACGCTAATCTGGCTAGTGACTTGGCATTAGCCTGGGTTACCTAACACTTAACACAAAGTCACGCTATCTATAACAATAACATTATGCATAACATTATTCCAGTAATATTATGTTAAAATAACAGTTGAAATGTTTTTTATGAGAGAGAAAGATCCTATGTATTCCAGCTCACCAAGGTCGTCGGCAACCATGAAGATAATATGAGGTGGTACTGGCGGCGGTGTTCCTGGCGAAGCTGATGGTGTTGGTGACGACGCTGTCGGCGGTGCTCCTGGCGACGTTGGAGGTGGTGGTGGTGATGATGAAGAGGGTGTTAAGGGGGTAGCGGCAGTGTATGTTATGACCATCACCACCACCCAGACGATTCTTCTCAGATTCATGCTCCAAGCCATGTTGGACTTAAAGAAGGTAGATGTAAGCCATGTGTGTGTGTGTATATATATATATATATTATATATATAATATATATATTATAATATATATATATAAATATAAACAGCTCCGGGGAGAACCTTGAGGTTTCCCTGAGGTACGTTTATTGTCTTCTCTGAGGATGAGGGTCCCCATTCCAGCTATAAAGGTGGTACCTCCCTATATATTTTTTCAGAAATATATATATATATATATATATATATATATTATATATATATATATATATTATATATATATATATATATATTATATATATATATATAAGCTCAATATTTCAGATATTTTATTATTAACGGTGAATCAATTTGTCATTTCCTGTATTCAATTCAATTCAATTCAAAGTTTATTCTCTGTAAGGATTACAATGCTGAGTTTATAGAATTTGGTTATTGTGTGGTTTACATGTAGTAAAATAATGATTACAGAGTGTACCACTAGAACACCTAGCATGGCTAGGCATTTCGGGCAGACTTAGTTTAAATCTTAATTTTAAAATATTTCAAATTATGAGTTAAGTTGGTATTATGGCTAAGTGAGTTTTGTGAGTTTAGCTTTTGTTTTGGCACAGTACATAGTTTCAGTAATGGAGTATCACAGGATTCATTATTTTAATATTGAGATTAATATTTCTGTTTATGGTCAAATGAGTGAGTGAGTGTAAGTGTGAACCACCAGGTGGTATTCGTGTAGTTAGTTGACGGGGTGTATCAGGGAGATAAGATGTTTTCTAATGGTAGTTTTGAAGGTGATAAATGTGTCTGCAGTTCTAGAGTTCTCAGGTAGGGTGTTCCAGATTTTAGGGCCTTTGACATACACTGTATTTTTGTAAAGGTTTAGTCGGACACGGGGAATGTCGTAGAGATGTTTGTTAGGACGTGTTTCTAAGTGACTGAATATTTGAACACCAAGATATAATGTACTAGTGTACAACTCTCTCTCTGTCCACACACTTTACATTATTAAATTATGGGCATCGCCGTATCTCCCTACAAATTGTACTGCCAGACATGCTAAGATCAACCAGCATTGCTAGTTGGGTTATCGTGGCTATCAGGTTTTCTCTGGCATCCAACCCCTTTAGTTAGGGTATGTGGAAGGGGTATAGCATTTTTTTTTTATTTAGCAAAATCGAATATATCAGCAATGTGCTGCTATCCGATTCTCTATGATAGTGAGAACAGCTTTCTATATTTCCCTGTTATGTTTTATCACACAGGATGCGATGCATACATAATGTTAAAATCTGTCAGCTTGAGCTGAAAGACTTCAGTAGGACCTGGAGTTTACCTGGAGAGGGTTTCGGGGGTCAACGCCCCCGCGGCCCGGTCTGAGACCAGACCAGGACTGATCAACCAGGCTGTTACTGCTGGCCGAGGATATCTTAAAGTATTCCACCAAAGGCTCCTCAATAACGGGAGCTTCAAGGATATCGTTCCAATAAAGCAGGAGTTTCTATTACTAAGGAATTACTGTTCCTCAAGATAGCCTACCATCCATTCAAGGGAGGTTCCTTGACGCTGGTGAGGGGCTCTTGATCTAAGGAATTGTATTTGTGCTCCAGTTCTCTGAATTGAGCCTGGATATCTTCCATCCCTCTTACAGGCGCTGTATAATCCCTACGGGTTTACTGTTCCCCCATGATTATAATAATAATCAAGATAGCCTATCCCATACATAGGAAAAATATTTTTCCGACTTTTTTTTGGGTTATCTTAGGTAATTTTACACTATGCATGATAATTGTAACTATGTGCCTAAATAAACTTATATCTTCAGTGGGTGAAGGTTAGGGCAAAAGGAATAGGGAGCAACGTCCTGTGGTTTGGATGTCTGCCCGGACGAGATGTGGTGAGGCAATTTGGTTGATGGGGAGAAGCCAGTTATACAACGCTCAGGTGCCTCGTCGTGAATTTATCTGTGACTGATTAAGACCAGCTCTACCTGGAGCTCATTACCTTTGTAAATTCTCATGATTAATGTGTTTATGATTCATTACCTTTGCAATTATTCATGAGTGACCAGCTCTACCTGGAGCTCATTACCTTTGTAACTTGGTCATGATTATGACCAGATCTAGTTCATTACCATTGTAACTTGCTCAGCTATCAAAACTTTGGAGTCCAGTCCCTGGACCAATTATGTACCTCTGTAATCTTTTGACTACCGCCCACAGGATGGGTATGGGGTGCATAATAAACATATTAAACTAACTAAACTAACTGATTAAAATAACAATGGTATAAGCTCGCAGTGTGCATATTGCAGAAGAGGAGGTTATATACATTGGTGTATTGTGAGCGGTATGCATATTAAATTCAATACTGTGCAATCTCCCTCTGGCGAGTGTGAGGCAAGAAAGTTTATTCAGGTATACACAAATACAGTTACATAGATTATCATACATAGCAGCATGTGTAGAGAACCTGGGATAACCCAAGAAAGTTAGATCACTATACGCGTCTATTCACTACCTCAAACATGTACTATAGTATAGAGCTTCTGAACTCTGGCATACGTTTGTCACCATTGTAAGATCTCATAATGCATGTTGTAGAAAATGAAGATATGTGCAGTGATGTCTTCCGGGCAGCAGCACAGTATTTACTGTTAGTCTGAGCCCCAGGCATGGGATCACAACGGCATTTTGTTCATCAGAAATCAGTACGATGTTTTGTGATTCCGTTACATGGTTAAACATCTGTTGGCCAATCTTAGATAAGTTTTGAGTCCATTCAGAAAAAAAGGCTTGTTATATAGTATTTTTTTTAAGATGCTTCCGGAAAGCACATTAGTGGGGAGTGAATTTCCCGTACAGTGACACTGACTACATTCATCGCAATGTTTAGACTTGCCAGTACTTACTCAGTAACAAATAAGAATGTGAGACTGGAGCCTTGACCCTCAAGTATCTGCCATGGGTATATTAGCAAGCATGTCTCCCTTCCAGTGCGTACATTCCAAATGTCTCCCCTCCAGAGCGTACATTCCAAATGTCTCCCTTCCAGAGCGTAAATTCCAAATGCTTGGAACATTTTCCAGCACTTTAAATCTTTTATTGGCTCTTTATCCGGGGAAATCTTCGCGTATTTTAAACTAGTACATATCTGTACAATAATTCTCATGGATGTTTTAGACACAAAATTAATGCATTATGTAAGTTTAAAATAAGATAATAAAATCAAGCATCGTGGCTTATTGCAATTGGTATCATGTTACCATTCTAGTTTACCTTAACGTCTATTAAAATCTAGTTAATGAAAGGTAGAAATACCTGATATGGTTGGTGGTTTAGCTGAAAATTCCTCTTTAGAGGGACGGACAGACAACTGCTGCTTCAGCAGCTGCTGCACGACTAGCGGATGGTTGCTGCTTCACCAACAGATGCAACACGACTGTCTTCATAGCGAGCTTCAGCGCCCTCCGCCTATGGGGGAGAGGCCCGAGATTAAAATGAGGGAGGTCACTTCTGAGGTCATTGTGGCCAGCACACTTATTGTCTCCAGCACGTCTACTGTGACCAACACGCCTATTGTGTCTCCAGGACACCTACTGTGACCAACGTATACTGTGACCAGCACGCCTATTGTGATTCCAGCACGGCTACTCTGACCAACACGACTGTGGAAAATTGCATTTATCTGAATGTATCATTATATACATAACAGTAAATGAAAAGATAATTATTATTTATCAGTTAGACATGTAGGAATTTGGGACACCTAGGTCGCAAGCAGCAGATCCTGGCGCAACCTGCTGCTGTTTGCAATGGCTGTCTGGCTGTCGTACCGAGGAAGGACAGGCACCTAGCAACATCTGTTGTTGGGGCAATGATGCATTCCCTAGAATGTTCGTTAATTGCTCATTACTCTGTAATTTGTAGCCACGTATGGACGTGTTTATGATTCATTTCCTTTGTAACTTATCATGATTGTGACCAGATCTAGTTCATTACCTTTCTAACTTGGTCATGATTGTGACCAGATCTAGTTCATTACCTTTGTAACTTGTCATTAGTGTGATCAGCTCTACCTGTAGCTCATTACCTTTGTAACTTATTCATCTATCAAAACTTTGGAGCCCATTCCCTGGACCCATTATGTACCTCTAATCTTTTGACTACCGCCCACAGGGTGGGTATGAGGATGCAGAATAAAGATATTAAACTAACTAAAAACTAACTTCACACGGTGATGTCCGGGTTCAATTTCCGGCGAAGGGGTGGAAATAACGGACGTCTTTCCTTATACCGGTTGTCTATGTTCACCCATCAATAAAATGGGTACCTGGGTGTTAGTCGACTGGTGTGGGTCGCATCCTGGGACAAAACTGACGTAATTTTCCCGAAATGCTCAGCATAACAAGGGGATTTCTACATGGTATTATGTCACTGATGTCAGCTAGGCCTGTATACCTTGTACGTGTACCTGTAGTTAATAAAGATATAATATGATACGGCTGTTTAGGGCAGTGTGGCCAGGACACCATACTGCTACTTAGGGCAGTGTGACCAGGACACCATACTGCTACTTAGGGCAGTGTGACCAGGACACCATACTGCTATTTAGGGCATTGTGACCAAGACACCATACTGCTCTGCAAGGAACTTGCAATCCCATTCATTGACAACTGGAACAACTTTTATGGCAAACATGATAAGTATGCAAGGGATGGGGTACATCTCTCTGGGGCAGGGGTGGTAGCACTTGCAGACTCGATTGAGAAGGCCATTGGTGAAATGCCTATGATTTTAAACTGATGGAAGATAGAGGTATGGGTGTGTGTGGGAAACAAGCAGGTTGCAACACTAGGGTTGGAAACAGTAAATGTATAAAAGGCATTCAGCATGAAGTTATAAATAAAGACAATAGAACAGGCCAGCAAACAAAGGGGGACAGCAGAGGGCAGCAAGGGACTAGCTCCCTTAAGGTTTACTATACTAATAGCAGGAGTGTTAGAAATAAGATAGATGAGCTAAGATTAATTGCAAGTGCAGGAAACATAGATATTATTGCTATAACAGAGACCTGGCTCAATCTGAAAGATAGAGAGATGCCCTCTGAATGTCACATACAAGGCTATAAATTATTCCACACTGACAGGGTCAACAGGAAAGGTGGTGGAGTAGCGATGTATGTCAGAGACAATTTAAATTGTTGTGTTAGACAAGATATTAAATTAGAAGCGTCAGCCACTGAATCTGTTTGGTTACAGCTTCTCGAGGGCCGAGAAAAACTAATTTTGGGTGTGATTTACAGGGCCCCAAATCTTGATAGGGAGTGCAGTAAACTTCTATGGGACGAAATTCGTAAGGCATCTACATACGAAAATGTTGTGCTAATGGGAGATTTCAACTATAGACAGATTGACTGGAGCAATTTGACAGGAAATTTAGAGTCGGGTGACTTTCTTGATACGATCCAGGATTGTTTTTTAAAACAGTTTGTGACAGAGCCAACTAGGGAAATAACCTCCTTGACTTGGTTCTTGCCAGTAGGGAAACACTAATTAATAATCTTGAGGTTAATGATGAGCTTGGGGAGAGTGATCACAAATCACTCAGTTTTAATATATCATGGAATTCCCCTAATAATGGCAATCAAGTCTCCGTCCCTGACTTTCGCTTCGCTGATTTCATAGGACTGAAAAATTACTTAGGTGGGCTGAACTGGAATGACCTGACTAAGGGTCAGGTAGGTGGTGATGGTTGCCGATATGATGCTTTCCAGGGCATAGTCTAGCTGCTCAGTCAAATTATGTTCCAAATAGGGAAATCAGATCAAACAAAATGATCCTAAATGGATGAACAATAGATTAAAATATCTGATTGGTCAAAAGAGAGGCATATATAGGCAAATCAAAAGAGGAGAGGCACAATTAAGAAATCGATATATTCAGTTAAAGAGAGAAATAAAAAAGGGAATTAGAAAAGCAAAAAGAGATTATGAGGTTAAAGTTGCAAAAGAATCGAAGACTAACCCAAAAGGATTCTTTCAGGTATACAGAAGTAAGATCAGGGACAAGATAGGCCCACTCAAAAGTTCCTCGGGCAGCTCACTGACAGTGATAAGGAAATGTGTAGAAGTTTTAACACATACTTCCTCCAGTTTTTACACAGGAGGATACCAGCGATATTCCAGTAATGATAAATTATGTAGAACAGGACGATAATAAACTGTGCACTATTAGGGTCACAAGTGACATGGTCCTTAGGCAAATAGATAAATTAAAAACCTAACAAATCCCCAGGCCTGATGAACTGTATGCAAGGGTCTAAAGGAATGTAAAGAGGAGCTTAGCAAAATTTGGCTAATCTTTTCAACATATCACTACAAACTGGCATGGGGGCCAGATAAGTGGAAAATGGCAAATGTGATACCTATTTTCAAAACAGGTGACAGGTCCTTAGCTTCGAACTATAGACCAATAAGCCAAAACCTCCATAGTGGGAAAATTTATGGAATCAATAATTGCCGAGGCAGTTCGTAGCCATCTTGAAAAGCATAAATTAATCAACGAATCTCAGCATGGTTTTACAAAGGGGCGTTCCTGCCTTACGAATTTATTAACTTTTTTCACTAAGGTATTTGAGGAGGTAGATCATGGTAATGAATATGATATTGTGTATATGGACTTCAGTAAGGCTTTTTGACAGGGTCCCACATCAGAGACTATTGAGGAAAATTAAAGCACATGGAATAGGAGGAGAAATTTTTTCCTGGATAGAGGCATGGTTGACAAATAGGCAGCAGAGAGTTTGCATAAAATGGGGAGAAATCAGAGTGGGGAAGCGTCACGAGCGGTGTTCCACAGGGTCAGTGTTGGGCCCCCTGCTGTTCACAATCTACATAAACGACATAGATGAGGGCATAAAAGAGCGACATCGGCAAGTTTGCGATGACACCAAAATAGGCCGTCGAATTCATTCTTGACGAGGGCATTCGAGCACTCCAGGAAGATTTGAATAGACTGATGCAGTGGTCGGAGAAGTGCAGATGCAGTTTAATATAGACAAATGCAAAGTTCTAAATGTTGGACAGGACAATAACCATGCCACATATAAACTAAATAATGTAGATCTTAATATTACGGATTGCGAAAAAGATTTAGGAGTTCTGGTTAGCAGTAATCTGAAACCAAGACAACAGTGCATATGTTTCGCAATAAAGCTAATAGAATCCTTGGCTTCATATCAAAAGCATAAATAATAGGAGTCCTCAGGTTGTTCTTCAACTCTATACATCCTTGGTTAGGCCTCATTTAGATTATGCTGCACAGTTTTGGTCACCGTATTACAGAATGGATATAAATTCTCTGGAAAATGTACAAAGGAGGATGACAAAGATGATCCCATGTATCAGAAACCTTCCCTATGAGGATAGACTAAGGGCCCTGAAACTGCACTCTCTAGAAAGACGTAGAATTAGGGGGGATATGATTGAGGTGTATAAATGGAAGACAGGAATAAATAAAGGGGATGTAAATAGTGTGCTGAAAATATCTAGCCTAGACAGGACTCGCAGCAATGGTTTTAAGTTGGAAAAATTCAGATTCAGGAAGGATATAGGAAAGTACTGGTTTGGTAATAGAGTTGTGGATGAGTGGAACACAACTCCCAAGTACCGTTATAGAGGCCAGAACGTTGTGTAGCTTTAAAAATAGGTTGGATAAATACATGAGTAGATGTGGGTGGGTGTGAGTTAGACCTGATAGCTTGTGCTAACAGGTCGGTTGCCGTGTTCCTCCCTTAAGTCAATGTGACCTGACCTGACTAGGTTGGGTGCTTTGGCTTAAGCCGGTAGGAGACTTGGACCTGCCTCGCATGGGCCAGTAGGCCTTCTGCAGTGTTCCTTCGTTCTTATGTTCTTATGTTCTTATGCTCGTGGGAAATGAAGTACCATTATTATAAAGATTTACGCTGTTCTGTGTGTCTCTTTTATTTGTGGGGGAGTTGTCTCTATCACATAATGGCCATAGATTTTACTAGAGGTGTCAAGTGGTCACTGTGTTATAATGAAAGGGCGTAGTCTCCAAGTTGACTTAAACATCAACACTTGTGATCAAAAGGCTGCTTGTTGTTGTTTCACTCTTCAGAAAACAGGAAAGTGTTTCCTGACACGGGTCTTAATCATACTGACGACTCGTTACTTCTTTAAGGGTGGCTCAGAAGCCACGTTATTAATGAGTGAGATGTTGAATGGCTCAGGGAGTCAGGATAAACCAAGAATGTCAAGTTGTTTGGTATATTTCAATTGGGGTTTCCTTTTTCAAGTCCTTCAGGATACAGCCACTCACAACAATCAACTGAATAACTCCTAGGGATCAATTTTCTGCTAGGTACCTAGGAAATCAAGTGTTTAGGAGACCTGACGATAAGTCTCTCCCAGTCTGGATTCGATAGGCTAGGTAAATTAAGTTACTTTGTAGAAATTACATTTTAGTAGCATTTAGTTAAATTGTTAGGTTAGTTTACTTGCAAATTAAAGAAAATCATGTCAAAAGTTTTCATTACTGTGTTCCTTAAGGTAAAGTGTGTAAATCTTAAGGTGATCTTTTAAGGGGAGGCAAGATGTAAGGGTGTTTCCCTGCATCGAATTTCTGCCAGTCTTAAGCTAACAATAGATTGGAACCTGAGAGATAGCCGACCAGTGTTGGTCGTATCTTTCGAATTATTTTTTTTATTTCTCTGCATATTGTACAGTGTGTAATTTACATGTTATAAAATACTGGTAAGCATAAAGAAAGCCACTAGCATGCCAGAGCATTTCGGGCAAACCTAATGACTCCTATTTAAATAAGCCATGCTGCTTAGCTTTCTTGGGTTATTCTGGGTTATTAAATCACCGGGGTTAATTCAGTTGAAGAGAGATCTCGTCTCATCATGTGACTCGCGAAATCGCAATAACACAATTGCCTGTCACTGTCTAAAAATTCGTTTTCTGTGACAGTGACAGAAAATTAATATAAATTAAACGGGTAACCAAAGTAATTTAATATTTTTATTTGTCTCTCCTCAAGGGAAGTTTCTTTATGTTGGTGAAGGGGCACTTGATCTAAGAAATTGCACCTGTGCTTTCCTTCCTTGAATCGAACCTGAGTGCCTCTCATTCCCCAGGTGCTGTATAATTCCTTCAGGCTCAGCCCTCTCCATGAGTCCAATAATAATAATAATAATAATAATAATAATAATAATAATAATAATAATAATAATAATAATAATAATAATAATAATGTGACCTGCATTGCTAATTGAACTCGTGTCTCGCAACCCCATCTTGCGATTTGTAATTTTGCTATAAATATTTTGGTTCCTTTTATTTGTGTCTAAGAGGATAATAGATTTGATATGCTGTTTATAGTGAAGTTTTCATCCATTCTGTATGTGAAATGCCATCCAAAATGTTAACATCATTGTGTCAATATAAACGACAATCCAGCTTTGTTGCGACGAAATCTTTAGAGCTGCAATAGCTGCCGTATCAATAGTAAAATGATTACCTAGGATAACCCCCCAAAAAAGTCAGACAGTGACTTATTTTTACTGGGTTCCTTAGAACGTTCATTCAGTATTCGACATGCCACAAAACCACGATTCTGCGAAAAATTAATGTGTTATTGTCGGCTAGGTTCGGTTACGCTAGCGTAGCGTAACCTAAATTTAACATAATTAACCGATAACAACGAAATATAAGAATAAAATAAAGAAAACGGGCGGTTTATGTCTGGCAGTGTAAAACAATATTTTGGGAGAGTTGATATCTCCACGCACGTTACTTAAGTTGGAGGATAGAATGTTCATGGATCAGGTCAGTGACCATCTATGTATCTAATTTTAATTAAATGAAAACCCTGATTACCTGGAGAGAGTTTCGGGGGTCAACGCCCCCGCGGCCCAGTCTGAAACAAGGCCTCATGGCAGATCAGAGTCTGATCAACCAGGCTGTTACTGCTGGCCGCACGCAAGCTGACGTACGAACCACAGCCCAGTTGGTCAGGTACTGACTTTAGGTGCCTGTCCAGTGCTTTCTTGAAGACAGCCAGGGGTCTATTGGTAATCCAAAATAATGCTTACCTGGAGAAGGGTGTACCTAGAGGGTGTTCCGGGGGTCAAAGCCCCCGCGGCCCGGTCCATGACCAGTCTTAGAGAGCAAGCTAGGTTTAGTAATACGTTGGAACGACAATTTCAAGACAATGACTGCATAAATATCCCTGACACCATCACTGATACGTTGAATAATAATTTCCTTTCGCAGGTCAAGTTTTTTGTAGTTCATGAACTTACAAGAGTGATTCTTATTTCTTCATTTTGTACTTTGTCAAGCTCTCCAAATACCGCGTCAGGCAACAGAACAGGCAGGAGGTGCGGCATAGTGAAATTAATGGTACCATCAGTGTGACGGTGTGAAGGAAAATGGTGATGATGGGGGTAGGGAGGCGTCCGCTGGAGATAAGGATGGTGGAGGGAGTATAGTGATGGGAGAGGGGAAGAGAGGAACGAGTATGATGAAAAGAGGGAGAGGTAGGGATGGATTGGGGAACGGAGGGAGGACGATGGAGGAGGGAGCGAGCTGATGTATGAAGGATACATAATTCGTCGGTTTATCATTTGTCCCTATTCTTTATATGCACCCTTTCACAGCTCTCATCCTCTGCACTCTGTGTTCTGAGCGTCTACACTCTCTGCATTTAATTCTGCACTCTTAGTGCTTTCAGCGTCTGCACTCTACAGTCATCCCCTGCACTCTTAAGTGTTCTCAGCGTCTACACTCTCAGTACACTCAGTCCCTGCACTCTTAAGTGTTCTCAGCGTCTACACTCTCAGTACACTCAGTCCCTGCACTCTTAGTGTTCTCAGCGTCTACACTCTCAGTACACTCAGCCCCTGCACTCTTAGTGTTCTCAGCGTCTACACTCTCAGTACACTCAGCCCCTGCACTCTTAGTGTTCTCAGCGTCTACACTCTCAGTACACTCAGCCCCTGCACTCTTAGTGTTCTCAGCGTCTACACTCTCAGTACACTCAGCCCCTGCACTCTTAGTGTTCTTAGCGTCAGATTATTATTATTAAAGATTCGCCGGTATTCTCCCGGCCCAGGCCTTTTCCAAGTGGTGGCCCGGCCTTGGCTCCCTCTTTAGGGACTGTCTGAGACCTAAGTCTCCCATGGGAGGAGGCACAAGTACCTCCTCATCTTTGGGACCAACTGTCCCCAGGCCTAGCCACAAGCTAGGCCTCTCTGGTCTGTCATCCCCGCCACAAGGGGGCTAATGGGAATGACAGTCTTGTGAGCTGTAAGCTCGGGCTCAGGCACCTACCCTACCCTAGAAGGGTTAGGCATGGTGTCGATCTCAGCGTCAGAGCCGTGTATACAGTACATATTACATAATATGTTCTCTAAATAACGTAGGAAGATTAATATGAAACTGTATGACAGGAGAACCATTTTTGGTGATAGGTGTGTTTAGGTATAGTGCTTTTTTTTATATATATAACCTTATAAAATGTTACAGAAATTAGAGTAGATGCAATAACGTAACCAAATATAAACATGTAAATAGAGCGCAGTCTCTGCATCCGTTTATGTACCCCTGTAATCTTTTGACTACTCCCTACACCATGAATATAGGGTAATAAGGTTATCAAAATAGCTAACAATGAGGTGTATTTAATTTTGACAATATGGAAGTTCTGCAGTGTATCATACGAACTCTTGATTGTTTCAGCTGACGGTCGACGCGGGGTGGAAAAGGGCTGTGCTCTCTCACCCTGCCATCTTGTGTGGCCTGGTGGCTAAAGCTCCCGCTTCTCACACGAAGGGCCCGGGTTCGATTCCCGGCGGTTGGAAACATTTCGGCGCGTTTCCTTACACCTGTTGTCCTGTTCACCCAGCAGCAAATAGGTACCTGGGTGTTAGTCGACTGGTGTAGGTCACATCCTGGGGGACAAAATTAAGGGCCCCAATGGAAATAAGTTAGACAGTTCTGGATGACGCACTGACTTTCTTGGGTTATCCTGGGTGGCTAACCCTCCGGGGTTAAAAATCCGAAGAAAATCTTATCTGCGGCCTGAGGAAGAAGCGTCACTAGGTCTGCTCTGTGAATACTCTGCCCAGAGCTATGACTGTGTCTTCTGCTGCAAGGAGAGTGGTTGTAACAGCGGCAGAGTCGCCGTCAGCCTGTTTATCTTGTCAGTGGTGGTGATGTTAGCATCACTGGCGCCTCTGCTCATGTCCCTGATAATGCTCCGCCATCCCTAGACTCTATAGCCTCTTCTCCAGGACGACTACCTTCTCGCCCTCCTCACAACTCTACCGACATGGCTCATTATACCACTGCCTGACACTTCACTACCATTATCTCTACTGTAACCCATTTGGCACATTCGTTTTCTGTTACTAACCGATTTTGTATCTCTTGTTACCTGTTTCCTGTTAAATCATTAATTTTATCTCATTTTAACCTCTGCTCTTTCATCTACTGCCTTCCACTCTATGTTTCACATATTTTTTTTTTTAATTTTCGTTTGTCTTTTCCCATCTCTAATCTTCACAGCAGCTTCCATCATCTCCATGTATAGCTTATCACCCACCTTTCATCCTCCATCCCCCATATCAACTTTATCATGAAGGAGTAATCCAATGTGTGATGGGATCCATAGCAATTGTACATCAATTCCTTTGTCCCTGATTTTTGAGTATCTATAACTGGCTTCTAGGATGAGCATGTTGGAGTCATTATATGAATTAAGAGCATTCAGTGATGACATAGAATCAGTAATGATGATAGAGTCAAGATCAGTGTCATAAGTTAGCTTTAGCCCCATATTCTCTATCAGTGCATTTTACAGCATAATATTCTTATATCATGAGTTATCTAGAAGCTTCGTAGAAAAAAAAAAACTACGTAGACTGTGAATATATTGTTTATTTCTCAGAATCTTCAGGAAATTCGAGTAATCTATTTGATCCATGTTTTTGATACAACTTTACGTCTTAAAGATCTTTCATAGCATAGTTGTCGGTTCTTTAGTTTGTCAAGCCTGATATTTATTTTGTCCATCTGTCAATATCTGAGGCGTCATCAGGGAGAAATTTTTTTTTAAATTAAATCCACTTAATATAAGAAAATAATTTAGTTATTAATAATACAAGTCGTGAAAAAAAGCGTTTTAATCCACCCTTTCTGAATTTTATTTTGTCTAATAAGAGAGGCATGAAAATCCAGACGCAGAATAAATTTTTTATTTTTAGCCAGTAAAACACAACGCACAATTAAGATTTTAAAATTATACCAAACAAGTTTTAGAAATACAGAGAAGCCAGATCCGAGGTCTACTAGCAACATTCTGGAGCTACTAGAACTATTCTGCAGGCACTAGTCTCACCCTGGGGTTACTGAGAGATTTTGCAGAGGTAACTGCGCTAGTCTGGAGCCACTAACAACTTCTCAGCGGTACTAGCACCATCCTGGAGGCACTAGCACCATCTCGTAGGTACTAGCACCATCCTGGAGGCACTAGCACCATCCTACAGGCAATAGCACCATCCTAGAGACAATAACACCATCCTAGAGACACTAGCATCATCCTAGAGATACTAGCACCATCCTAGAGGAACTAGCACCGTTCTAGAGGAACTAGCACCATCCTGGAGACCAGACACCGTCGAAGTTATCAGGATTGGCTTCGGGCACCTCAGGTAGTGTGTGTGCAGGCACGTACCGTGGTAACTCCTCCACGAGGTACTGAAGAAGCTTCTTCACCACCTCCATGTGCACCGACACGAGGTCCACTCGTTCCTCCGGGTCCTCTGATGGGGGAGGAACACGTCATAGGCGGCTGAGACTGTTTATGAGGAAGCGTTAACATTGTAGGGGGTCAGGCAGCGCCTGGAGAATGGGGAGGCATTCAGATTTGACTTGAGAAGAAGGGCAGCTCCAATTTCTTGGATCTCGAGCCCTTCACGGGCATCAAGGCGCTTTTCCCTCATATCCTGAAGGGTTAAGATGGTAGTGATACCTAATACCGGTACAACCTGTGGCTCGTTCCTCATACCTAATACTAGTACACGTATCGTTCAGGAAGTAGATACGATATCAATGTTTTAATAAACAATATTATTTAAAAAGTTTGATTATTAAAATTCATCTCAGTCTACGAGGAACAATTCTTACTCTTGTGACTCAACAACTGGAGAGTAAGTTAATATGCAGATATTTCTTTATTAATATGATCCAGCTAGCATTATCTTCATTGAACTTCTATTTCCTTCAAAACCGTTTCAAACTGTACACGCAAAAATAGTTGCATGAATTTATAGAAATCTAAACTGCTTTTTCAAACCGGTGAATTTTACAAGCTAAAATCTGCTATCCCACCGCAGCTCACTTCAAAGCTCACAACAGCTGGCTGGAGGGCCTACGTACCTGTTGATTGTCAAGTGAACAGGTACAACAGGTGTACAGACACATACCTGAGTGTCGACCCATTCGGGGCTGAACCCGATTCCTCACTTGTAAGTCGAATATGTTACCACTGAGCTATGAACTGTTTGAAGCTATCAACATTTTCTTGTAATAAAGTCTTTGGAAAAGAGGAGAAGGAGAAATCAATCAGCTTTGGCAAAACGACCTTGCGAGATTTACTTTATTTCAGAAAGAGGTAAGGAGCAAATGAAATCTGCCCATATCGTCCTACTAACATATATAATAATTAAATCGTAAGAAGTAACAACAACTTTTAAAATATTTTTCTCAGAATTTGTTATGTATATCAAATTACTTTCGTCACGTGAATTACTGAGTGTGAGTGATACAAAGTAGCCACCACCTCCTCCTCTCAGGGATGAAGAGACATTTGTTGTCGCGAGTGGCACAAGTAAACGTAATACTTACCCACGAGGATGTATAGTCATTGATGGTTGTGAGAGAGGTACTAGAGACCTCGGAAAATAGCAAAAAGGCACAATACCGTGACTGGAACAATACACAATTAACCCACACATGTGAGAGGGGAGCTTACGACGACGTTTCGGTCCGACTTTGTAAATGATCCAAGTCGGACCGAAACGTCGTCGTAAGCTCCTCTCTCTTATATGCCGGTTATTTGTGTAGAGAGCTCGGTGCTTAGCCACGAGGATGTATAGTCATTGATAATCATGAAAGAGGTACATGAGAGCCCGGCACTTACCTGCAAGGATGTAAGTCCAATATTGATGGTACTTACCCTCAACATTGTAGAGTCTAATCTTTGCGTCGTTCTTTTTAGTAATTTGCAGCAACAACTCCTGTATGGCAACGTCCAACTCTTGCGTCCACACGTTATCGCTTATAGTTTTTCTTTTAACAACTCCTTCGCCTTCTCTAGCGTCTTTAGTGTCCCTTCCATTACTTTGTGCACTCTCGATGTGTTTGCCTTTATTATCTTGCAGTGAAAGTATGTCTGCTGCGTCGATATCGGCGTCAATGTCTACAGATAATGAACTGCTGGCACGAGACTTTGGAACGGTGGATATAAACACGAATGGGCCCGCATCCGTTCTCTTCGTAGAGATCAAGTGCCTGTGGCTGGATTTCCTGATTTTACTGGAGCTGTTGGCTTGATGGTAATTTAATGCTCGGTCCTCTAGAGATGATTTAACACCTTTCCGCCTGACACTATCAGAGGAACTTAATACATCATAATCTTTCTCCAACTGACCATCTTTAGGATCCTCTGTCTCAGTTGGAAGTAAAACCTGAGGTAGTACAGGACCCTGGCCAGGATGTCTCGATGGCGGAGACTCATTTGGTTGGCCCAGAGGGGCGTCAACAGTGTTAAGTCTGAGTTCTGGAGGGGGTGTCCATTCTCCTTTGCCAGGGAATCCTACCAGAAGCTTGTACTTACCAATCCTGCATAAAGAAAACCGACCAATGTTAGATTATCTTAAAATAAGAGAGGCACTGCAACTAATTGCAAATATTTTTGAAAAATAAACTGCGATGGTTTGCAACTGACAAAGCTGAATATGATGACAGTCTTGCATACATTTAGTACAGTTTTCAGGAAGATATGACGAAAATATTCAACTTAAAATTATTTAGCCAAAACCTCATCATTTTATAAGTGTTAAAAATAGTATAAAATACCTACTGCCTCTGTATTTGACTGAAGAAGCCTGCTGTGCAGGCGAGACGTTTCAATAATAAAAATATCCAACTATTGCACATGTGTCTTAATCATTACATTATAATTACCTATATGAATTTGCCGGAGGTGAGCTGCACTTCTTGTATATAAGTATCAATGTCAAACGAAGAACACAAGTCTCACCTGACGGCAGCTTTAAATTGTGTAGTGTTGTCTATGTTGTATATCATGTGTGTCCTGGGCGGGGGAGCCGAGTCCACGAAGGAGGACCATTGATCCACACCGTCAATGTCCTCCGGAGCCTCACCCTTGGCCAGGCCCACCAGCGTCTTGTACCAGTCAGTGACGTGCACCAGCCTGGTCATACATACGTGGTCAACTCAGGTCGAGGTGTAGCGAGAAAAAATACATAGGAATTGAAGCCATGTGGCCAAAAGCGGCAAATATTTTTTACTGAATCCATAAAATTGGGATTTAGATCCTGACTGGCTTAGACAAAACTTTGATAATTAAATAATTAATAGTAACATATCCGGCTAATTTAAGCTATGTAGGGGAAACTAAAAGCGATCAGGGCTCAAAAAAAAAAAAAACTAAAATTATTATAGTCTTTTAGAGAGTAACTGGGAGTAAATATTGACTAGTAAAATAACGTTCTAAAAGATATTAGGCAGTAAATATCATTCTCAAAGATATTCATCTAGATACCACTGCTGTTTCTTGATTTATGACTCAAACCAGACGATGACCTCAAACCAAAATCACAGAAACTACAATTAATTTTTGGGGGGATACCTAGAAGAAAAATTCTTGCCAAAAATGGGACGTTGTGAGTTTTTGTGAGGAAAAAAATTGGGACGTTGTAAGTGGGTTCTTGTGAGGAAAAAAATCTTTGAGTCCACAGGTGTTACTGACTGGTGACTGATGGTGCCGGGGTTGGGGAGGATCGGTGAGTGTATGAAGGCCACACCCCGGGTGCCACCTTCCCACAGGTTAGCCTTGTGTCCCCGAAGAGGCCAGTTGTTGGCACCGTGGATGGTCGGTCCACCGTTCTGGTACATTGAAATTTCTGTTAAATTCACGTCCATCGTGCGTGAATTAAGCTTCAACTAATTAAACCTTTCAACTTATACGTGAATTACATAATACAGTGTTGAATTAAAGCTATCCTTTATTCCATATCAGTATAGATATACATATATCTATAGTTATACATAAGATACTTTAAAACTAACATCAGTAGTGAAGATGATGACGGAGTTGTCGTAGTGCCCAGTGATCTTGAGTGCCTCCACCACCCGTCCCACTGCCTCATCCATGGCACTTACCATGCCTGCAACACACACAACTGTCACCTGGTACTCTGATACACACACCCACACATGCATAGTGGCAGGGCCAATATCTATACATAGCTTTAAGAAGAGGTATGGCAGGGCTCACGAAGACAGAAGAGTGAATCCAATAAGGGTCATTAGAAGAGGCAGGACCGAGAGCAATGACTCGACCTCTGCAGGCAAAATGGGTGGCTGCAAATAGCTGAAATCAGGCGGACGTAAGTAATAAATGATGATGTAACGATGGCTGTACCAGTGTTGGTGGGGGTTGTACTAGCGTAGGTGTTGGTTGTACTAGTGTTGGTGTGGGTTGTACTAGTGTTGGTGGAGGTTGTACTAGTGTTGGTGGGGGTTGTACTAACGTTGGTGTGGGTTGTACTCTTGTTGGTGGGTGTTGTACTAGTGTTGGTGAGGGTTGTACTAGTGTTGGTGGGGGTTGTACTAGTGTTGGTGGGGTTGTTCTAGTGTTGGTGGTATAGAAGGCAGTTAGGGTGACTAACAACTCACCCAGGTAGGTGCGTCGGTAGGAGTTTTTGATGTGTACGAAGGGTTCTGTGTACTTCTCAGGTACCATGAGAGGGGCGTGCACACTCTGGAAAGGCACGTACAGGAACATGGGATCCTCAGGGTTTCTGGTCCTCAGTAGATCCTCAATGTATGACGCGAACATATACTGTGGGAGGCATGCAGCGCAGGTACGTAAGTATGTGAGAGGGAGGCAGTGGGTGGAAGGGAAGAAGTGGAAGGGAGAAGGAGAGGGAGTGGGCGATGGGGAAAGCAGGAAAATTAGAGGAGAAAATGAATAAGTGATAGAATAAGTATTGAATAAAAAGGTGCATGAATAAAGACGTGAAACATGAAGAAAGAGATGATAATATATTAGGAAGGATGCATAAGAAGTAAATAATGCAGATAGTAACACAGCAGTGACACAGCAGATAGTGACACAGCAGACAGTGACACAGCAGACAGTAACACAGCAGACAGCGACACAGCAGACAGTGACACAGCAGACAGTGACACTGCAAGTCAGTGACGCAGCAAGTTTTAACACAGAAGGCATCGACACAGACACATCAATTTAGATGGTAACAGGTTGCCAAGAAACATCAAATTTACACGATGCAAAAACGACCACGTCACAATTAATATAAAATATTTAGAGATAACTTAAGAACACGTAATATAATTTCATTTAGGCAGTATTATTAAAATATAAACTAAATGTCTACGAAGACTCCGTAGGACCATATATATATATATATATATATATATATATATATATATATATATATATATATATATATATATATATATATATATATATATATATATATATATATTATATATATTATATATATAATATATATATATTATATATATACATTTTATATATATATATATATATATTTATATATATATAATATATATATATATATATATATATATATATATATATATATATATATATATATATATATATATATATATATTACTCTTTAAGGTATTGTTTATAAGTTACCGTAGAGTAGACACCATCTTGGCTTCTGTCCGGGGTTTTGTTGTTCCTCAAGTCCAGCCATTCTTTCTTACCTGGGTGAAAGAGATGGGTTTATGGTCATATATTTCTCTATCTCTATTTATTGCTCTATCTCTGTCTCTACAGCTCACGGGACAATTCTTTCAAATCACTTCTTTCCGTGTCTAAAACTTCCTTACCCTCATTCGCGTCCACTCCGAGACTGTCTCCCCTTTCACTCCCATCTAGAGAATCCTTATGTCCCTAACTCCTCTCCCCCCTTTCTCCATTTTATTCTTCTACCTCCATTCCTTCTCCCTCGTATACACCTTCCCATCACCTTCTTTCTGGGCCTTTACCTTCTCTATCACCTCACCTCCAGGAGCGTCGTCCAAGTCGCTGCAGTGGTCCACATTAGAAGTATTACATGACTCAAAGACGTGAGACCTATGGTGAGTGTTGTAGTCCTCGGAACCGGTGTAGTAGCCATAGAAGGTGTCGAAACCCCTCATGGTGGGGGTGTAGTCCCATGAGCAGAAGCCAAGGTGCCATCTGTGGTGATGAAGATGAGAAAGGGTAAACCCAAGAAGTCACCTGATTAGAGATTGAGAAGATCGTAGGGAAGACCTTATTGATTTGAGTGTGTCCATTAAGTCGAAGTGAGTAGGTGTAAATCCAGTTACTGCAGGGTTGGGGTACCACACCTTCACAAGAACCTTAAAGGAAACTCCTCTCCAACTATTACCTCCCTACTACAGACACTTCCTCCCACCAGTACCTCCCACTGAAATCCTTTCTCACTAATAACTCCTGAAAGTAAAATGCCCTCCCACTAACAAGCCCCCTTTTATGTAAATTTCCCTCCCAAGGACATCGCCCTCCTATATGTAGTATTACTCTGAGGACTTGTCTTGGCTGAGTGGCGTCTGAGGGCACCTGCCTTTCTCCTCAGCGCTTTTTTCTGCTGATAGGAGTAGATTCCCTCCCATTTTAGGACCTTAGGGTTGGTTAGCCAGCCCTCACCTATCCATTTGCTGCCTGAGGTAGGTAGGCGTGTGGGTGTGTATGTATGTCTATATTCGTATATGTGTATGTGTGTGGGGGGAACGGGAGTGTCCTTTACGGCTCTAACGAGATGAAACATAGGACTGATCCTACTCCTCCCATACATACTCAGTTCTAACTTACTTTTCGCAAATCAAACAAGTGCTCCTGTTGTAGAGAAGGAAGGAATGTAAGTCTGAGGTATCATTGGAAGAGTACGAAAGGGTGAACTGAAGGTATCATCTCGTAAGGTGAAAAACAGTTGAAGGAGGAACACAGGTGTCCCTCTGATAAAGTAGATAAGTAAAGAGTAAAGTAAAGAGCTGGGAAGCGGAAAAAATTATGAAAGAAATTTTAGAGATATTGAGAAGGGTAAACTTTATCGACCGGCAGGTTTTTTATGTTGGTATATATGTCGTGCTTTTTAAGCAGAACTTACAATATTGGTTAATTAAAACAATGATTGTTATGAACCTGTGTAAGTGTTTGCGTAAGGTCACTAACAAATACACTATGAACGCTCACTTGCCAACGGCGTGAGTTTGGTAACCAACATCCTTCAGCGCCTGCGGGAGGAGCTTCAACTGCAGGTCAAGACCCACGGGTTCTGCATGCTGCAGGATGCTGTTCTGGAGGAGAGAACCTATAATCGTCATGTAATTCCTTCACCTATGTGTTTCTATGTATACTTCAGTTTACTGGAGTAAGAGATATGGGAAGAAGTGCAAGATAAACCCAGCGAAAAGCAGGGGCGCAGTGAGCACAATAAGGGAACATATTATCAACATTCGTAGTCCAAAATTATTCAACATGTTACCAGAAGATGTCAGAAACACTGCTGAGACAAATATAGAAGCCATCAAGAGGAAACTGAACAAGTATCTTCACCAGGTGCCAAATTAACCGGGCTGTGATAAATACATGGGGCTGCGGGCCGTAAACGGCAAACAGTTGACCAGGCAAACGGCAGACGAACCTGGTCCTTGGCCGAGCTCCGGGAGTAGAAAAACTGTCAACAGAAGGGATTGGATCCCAATGTTTTGGCGACAGTATTATAGACAACACACTTTGCAGAAAACTTTTACTGGGACAATGCTTCGCTTTGTGTAGAATTTTATCAATTTAAGTGAAATATTGTCCCAGTAATAGCTTAGTCTGCAACTGTTCTTCCGACAGAAAATGATGTAATGATCCACTGCTTGCTGACAGTGGAAGGTTAGTGATCCCGGGTCCCTCTACCTGCCACTGGTCAAGGAAATAGTGACCCCTTCACCCGACAGTGAAGGTAAGTGGCCCTAGACGTACCTGCCTACTGATAGTGAAGGAAAGTGGCCCCAGACGCACCTGCCTACCGATAGTGAAGGGGTAGCGACCGGAGAGGAGAGCGGAGCGGGTGGGGGTGCAGATGGGCTGGACGTAGGACTGCTCCAATATGATACCATCTCTGGCAAGGGACTCCAGGTGTGGCATCAACACCTGGGGGTTGTGCCACGACACATCGTTCCAACCTGCCCAAGGTCACACTAGGTCACAACACATGTCGCTCAAGGTAAACTCAAGGTTACTGGGTGTAAGCTGACGCTAATCTGGCTAGTGACTTGGCATTAGCCTGGGTTACCTAACACTTAACACAAAGTCACGATATCTATAACAATAACATTATGCATAACATTATTCCAGTAATATTATATTAAAATAAGAGTCGAAATATTTTATGAGAGAGAAAGATCCCATGTATTCCAGCTCACCAAGGTCGTCGGCAACCATGAAGATAATATGAGGTGGTACTGGCGGCGGTGTTCCTGGCGACGTTGGAGGTGGTGGTGTTGATGATGAAGAGGGTGTTAAGGGGGTAGCGGCAGTGTATGTTATGACCATCACCACCACCCAGACGATTCTTCTCAGATGCATGCTCCAAGCCATGTTGGTCTTAAAGAAGGTAAGAAGGTAGATGTAAGCCATGTGTGTGCGTGTGTGTATATAATATATATATATATATATATATATATATATATATATATATATATATATATATATATATATATATATATATATATATATATATATATAATATATATAGGTGGAAAATGTGGATATAAGTTCAGTATTTCAGATATTTTATTATTAACGGTGAATCAATTTGTCATTTCCTGTATGGTTTGTTATGACGTGTTTCTAAGTGACTGAATATTTGAACACCAAGATATAATGTACTAGTGTATAACTCTCTCTCTGTCCACACACTTTACATTATTAAATTATGGGCATCGCCGCATCTCCCTACAAATTGTACTGCCAGACATTGCTAGCTGGGTTATCGTGGCTATCAGGTTTTCTCTGGCATCCAACCCCTTTAGTTAGGGTATGTGGAAGGGGTATAGCATTTTTTTTTATTTAGCAAAATCGATTATATCAGCAATGTGCTGCTATCCGATTCCATATGATAGTGAGAACAGAAGCTTTCTATATTTCCCTGTTATGTTTTGTCACACAGAATGCGATGCATACATAATGATAAAATCTGTCAGCTTCAGTTGAAAGACTTCAGTAGGACCTGGAGTTACCTGGAGTTTACCTGGAGAGGGTTTCGTGGGTCAACGCCCCCGCGGCCCGGTCTGAGACCAGGCCTCATGGTGGATCAGGGTCTGATTAACCAGGCTGTTACTGCTGGCCAAAGATATCGTAAACTATTCCGCCAAAGGCTCCTCAATAACGGGAGCTTCAAGGATATCGTTCCAATAAAGCAGGAGTTTCTATTAGGAATTACTGTTCTTCAAGAAAGCCTACCATTCAAGGGAGGTTCCTTGACGCTGGTGAGGGGCTCTTGATCTAAGGAATTGGATTTGTGCTCCGGTTTCCTGAACTGAGCCTGAATACCTTCCATCCCCCCCTACAGGCGCTGTATAATCCCTACGGGTTTACTGTTCCCCCAGGATTATAATAATAATCAAGATAGCCTATCCCATACGTAGGAAAAATATTTTTCCGACTTTTTTTGGGGTTATCTTATGTAATTTTACACTATGCATGATAACTGTAACTATGTGCCTAAATAAACTTATATCTTCAGTGGGTGAAGGTTAGGGCAAAAGGAATAGGGAGCAACGTCCTGTGGTTTGGATGTCTGCCCGGACGAGATGTGGTGAGGCAATTTGGTTGATGGAGAGAAGCCGGTTATAATAAGCTCAGGTGCCTCGTCATGAATTTATCTGTGACTGATTAAAATCACAGTGGTATAAACTCGCAGTGTGCATATCTCAGAACAGGAGGTTATATACATTGGTGTATTGTGAGCGGTATGCATATTAAATCCTATACCGTACAACCATTCATTACCTTTCCCCCCCCCCCCACCTCTCTGCTTTCTGGCGAGTGTGAGGCAGGTCACTGCATGCCCTGTCCACTACCTCAAACTTGTACTACGGTATAGAGCTTCTGAACTCTGGCATACGTTTGTCACCATTGTAAAATCTCATAATGCATATTGTAGAAATGAGGATATGTGCAGTGATGTCTTCCGGACAGCAACACGGTAAATACCTCCCTATGTCTCAGGAATATTGTTGTAGAAAGCACACTAACCATTTACTGTTAGTCTGAGCCCCAGGCATGGGATCACAACGGTATTTTGTTCAACAGGAATCAGTACGATGTTTTGTGATTCCGTTACATGGTTAAGCCTCTGTTGCCCAATCGGAGCTATGTTTTGAGTCCATTCAGAAAAAACAAAGGCTTCCTATATAGCATTTCTTTTAAGATGCTTCCGAATAGCACCTTAGTGGGGAGTGAATTTCCCGTACACTGACACTGACTACATTCATCGCAATGTTTAGACTTGCCAGTACTTACTCAGTAACAAATAAGAGTGTAAAACTGGAGCCTTGACCCTCAAGTATCTGCCATGGGTATATTACCAAGCATGTGTCTTACAGAGCGTACATTCCAAATGTTTCCTTTCCAGAGCGTACATTCTGTCTCCCTTCCAGAGCGTACATGCCAAATGTCTCCCTTCCAGAGCGTACATTCCAAATGTCTCCCAGAGCGTACATTCCAAATGTCTCCCTTCCAGAGCGTACATTCCAAATGTCTCCCTTCCAGAGCGTACATTCCAAATGTCTCCCAGAGCGTACATTACAAATGTGTCCCTTCCAGAGCGTACATTCCAAATGTGTCCCTTCCAGAGCGTACATTCCAAATGTCTCCCTTCCAGAGCATACATTCCAAATGTCTCCCTTCTAGAGCGTACATTCCAAATGTCTCCCTTCCAGAGCGTACATTCCAAATGTCTCCCTTCCAGAGCGTACATTCCAAATGTCTCCCAGAGAGTACATTACAAATGTGTCCCTTCCAGAGCGTACATTCCAAATGTGTCCCTTCCAGAGCGTACATTCCAAATGTCTCCCTTCCAGAGCATACATTCCAAATGTCTCCCTTCTAGAGCGTACATTCCAAATGTCTCCCTTCCAGAGCGTTCATTCCAGATGTGTCCCTTTCAGAGCGTACATTCCAAATGTCTCCCTTCCAGAGCGTAAATTCCAAATGCTTGGAACATTTTCCAGCACTTTAAATCTTTTATTGGCTCTTTATCCGGGGAAATCTTCGCGTATTTTACAGACTAGTACATATCTGTACAATAATTCTCATGGATGTTTTAGACAAAAAATTAATGCATTATGTAAGTTTAAAATAAGATAACAATAAAATCAAGCATCGTGGCTTATTGCAATTGGTATCATGTTACCATTCTAGTTTACCTTAACGTCTATTAAAATCTAGTTAATGAAAGGCAGAAATACCTGATATGGTTGGTGGTTTAGCTGAAAATTCCTCTTTAGAGGGACGGACAGACAACTGCTGCTGCACGACTAGCGGATGGTTGCTGCTTCACCAGCAGATGCAACACGACTGTCTTCATAGCGAGCATCAGCGCCCTCCGCCTGTGGGGGAGAGGCCAGAGATTAAGATGAGGGAGGTCACTTCTGAGGTCATTGTGGTCAGCACACTTAGTCGCCAGCACGCCTACTGTGACCAACACGCCTACTGTGACCAACACGCCTACTGTGACCAACACTACTGTATCTCCAGCACACCTATTGTCTCCGGCACGCCTACTGTGACCAACACTACTGTACCTCCAACACGCCTACTGTTACCAACACGACTACTGTATCTCCAGCACGCCTACCGTGACCAACACGATTACTGTATCTCCAGCACGCCTACTGTGATCAGCACGCCTATTGTTTCTCCAGCACGCCTACTGTAACCAACACGATTTCTGTATTTCCAGCACGCCTACTGTGACCAACACGATTACTGTATCTTCAGCACGCCTATTGTGTCTCCAGCACGCCTACTGTGACCAACATAATTTCTGTATTTCCAGCACGCCTGTGACTAACACGAGTACTGTATCGCCAGCACGCCTACTGCGACCAACACGTCTGCTGTGACCAGCATGCCTGTTATGTCTCCAGCACGCCTACTGTATCTTCAGCACGCCTACTGCGACCAACACGTCTGCTGTGACCAGCATGTCTGTTGTCTCCAGCACGCCTACTGTATCTTCAGCACGCCTACTGTGACCAACACGACTACTGTATCTCCAGTCGCGCCAACTGTGACCACGATTTCTGTATTTCCAGCACACCTACTGTGGCCAACGCGACTACTGTATCTCCTGCACGCCTACTGTGACCAGCACGCCTATTGTCTCCAGCACGCCTACTGTGACTAACACGACTGTATCTCCACGCCTACTGTGACCAACACTACTGTATCTCCATCACGCCTACTGCGACCAACACGTCTACTGCGACCAGCATGCCTGTTATGTCTGCAGCACGCCTACTGTGACCCACAGCACGCCTACTGTGACCAACACGATTTCTGTATTTCCAGCACGCCTACTGTGACCAGCATGCCTGTTTCCAGCACGCCTACTGTGACCAACACGTCTACTGTGACCAGCACGCCTATTGTCTCCAACACGGCTACTGTGGCCAACACGGCTACTGTGACCAACACGGCTACTGTGACCAACACGACTACTGTGACCAACACGACTACTGTGACCAACACAACTACTGTGACCAATACGGCTACTGTGACCAACACGACTACTGTGACCAACACGACTGTGACCAACACGGCTACTGTGACCAACACAACTGCTGCACAGGTAACAACTGCTGCACAGGTAACAACTGCTGCACAGGTAACAACTGCTGCACAGGTAACAACTGCTGCACAGGTAACAACTGCTGCACAGGTAACAACTGCTGCACAGGTAACAACTGCTGCACCTGCTGGGAGGGGCCAGTGAAAGCACCAAAAAAAATTTTTTTTTGGTCCAATTTCAATGAGATTTTGACAAGATTAAGCAGCATAAAAAACATATAGACTGTGTTTGTTTTGACTGTAAACCGTCAAGTTAGGTAAAAAAAAAAAATTATGCAGAATTTCATGCGTCTTACGACTTTCCTCTTTCTACTAAATTCTGACCCCTCAAGGAAGGTTCCTTGATGTTGGTGAGGGGCTCTTGATTTAGGGAATTGGATCTGTGCTCCAGTTCCCCGAATTAAGCCTGAATGCCTTCCACATCCCCCCCCCAGGAGCTGTATAATCCTCCGGGTTTAGCGCTTCCCCCTTGATTATAATAATAATAATAATACTAAATTCTGAAGATGTACAATTTTGTAGTTACCATCAGATGCAAGATAAAAGCTAGATTATTGTTGACCCAGAGAGTTTCACCGATAATGTCAGTAGATTCCATAAAAAAAAACGTATTTTTTTTTTTTGTGGAAAAAAAAATCATTAACAAAAAGCTGTACACAATATGGCAAACCCTCCCTGGGTGTTTGTAGAACCATCATTCCTCAATAACGTCTGCAAAAAGCATGACAATCCAATGAATACTTATCGCAGGTTAGGGATTACAATATCGACAACTTATTACCTAATTTTTTTTTTTGTTTGGTGTAAAACTCTATGGAATTGGCGCGCCAGCTCTCATCGTGGCAAATTCCACCGACCTTCTTGACAGCCTCCAGGCTACTGAGAGACTCGCTGCTCTTCACACACTAGCCACCACACAAGTTCCCATGTACAGTATTTACAATGAAATACTCATAAAAATCGTAATTTTTGGAGGAAAAAAAACTGCTAATTGCCAACATGTATTTCCGCTGACAGCAAGAACAAAAATAATACATTTAATGAAAAACATACTTAGAAATATGAAAGAAGCTGATTACATCAAAATGTTGCCAGAATTTTGCACTATTTTTCAGTAAGAAAACATTTTTTTCCCATAATTTTTCAATCTTAATATCCTGATCACTGAAAAATGCTCGCCCCTCCCTTCACCTTTACAGAAAGTCTGGGATCTGCAATCAAATTGGCGTCCACCAGGACGTTGACACGTCCCAAGGGCAGCTCTACCTCGGGCTGCTAGCGGAGTAGCTGATCTTGGACCTGTTGGGGAGGGTCGATGGTGCTCCTGCAAGCAGCAGATCCTGGCGCAACCTGCTGCTGTTTGCAATGGCTGTCTGGCTGTCGTACCGAGGAAGGACAGGCACCTAGCAACATCTGTTGTTGGGGCAATGATGCATTCCCTAGAATGTTCGTTAATTGCTCATTACTCTGTAATTTGTAGCCACGTATGGACGTGTTTATGATTCATTTCCTTTGTAACTTATCATGATTGTGACCAGATCTAGTTCATTACCTTTGTAACTTGTCACGAGTGTGACCAGCTCTACCTGTAGTTCATTACCTTTCTAACTTGGTCATGATTGTGACCAGATCTAGTTCATTACTTTTGTAACTTGTCATGAGTGTGACCAGCTCTACCTGTAGCTCATTACCTTTGTAACTTCGTCATGGTTGTGACCAGATCTAGTTCATTACCTTTGTAACTTGTCATGAGTGTGACTAGCTCTACCTGTAGCTCATTACCTTTGTAACTTCGTCATGGTTATGACCAGATCTAGTTCATTACCTTTGTAACTTGTCATTAGTGTGATCAGCTCTACCTGTAGCTCATTACCTTTGTAACTTATTCATCTATCAAAACTTTGGAGCCCAGTCCCTGGACCCATTATGTACCTCTAATCTTTTGACTACCGCCCACAGGGTGGGTATGAGGATGCAGAATAAAGATATTAAACTAACTAAAAACTAACTTCACACGGTGATGTCCGGGTTCAATTTCCGGCGAAGGGGTGGAAATAACGGACGTCTTTCCTTATACCGGTTGTCTATGTTCACCCATCAATAAAATGGGTACCTGGGTGTTAGTCGACTGGTGTGGGTCGCATCCTGGGACAAAACTGACGTAATTTTCCCGAAATGCTAGCATAACAAGGGGATTTCTACATGGTATTATGCCACTGATGTCAGCTAGGCCTGTATACCTTGTACGTGTACCTGTAGTTAATAAAGATATAATATGATACGGCTGTTTAGGGCAGTGTGGCCAGGACACCATACTGCTACTTAGGGCAGTGTGATCAGGACACCATACTGCTATTTAGGGCAGTGTGACCAGGACACCATACTGCTATTTAGGGCATTGTGACCAAGACACCACACTGCTCGTGGGAAATGAAGTACCATTATTATAAAGATTTACGCTGTTCTGTGTGTCTCTTTTATTTGTGGGGGAGTTGTCTCTATCACATAATGGCCATAGATTTTACTAGAGGTGTCAAGTGGTCACTGTGTTATAATGAAAGGGCGTAGTCTCCAAGTTGACTTAAACATCAACACTTGTGATCAAAAGGCTGCTTGTTGTTGTTTCACTCTTCAGAAAACAGGAAAGTGTTTCCTGACACGGGTCTTAATCATACTGATGACTTGTTACTTCTTTAAGGGTGGCTCAGAAGCCACGTTATTAATGAGTGAGATGTTGAATGGCTCAGGGAGTCAGGATAAACCAAGAATGTCAAGTTGTTTGGTATATTTCAATTGGGGTTTCCTTTTTCAAGTCCTTCAGGATACAGCCACTCACAACAATCAACTGAATAACTCCTAGGGATCAATTTTCTGCTAGGCACCTGGGAAATCAAGTGTTTAGGAGCCCTGGCGATAAATCTCTTCCAGCCTGAACCTCTTCAACGGGGGCTCCTTGGCGTGGTGAAGAGGCTCTTGGTCTGAGGAATTAGCCCTGTCGGTCTTCTTCCTCAGACCGAACCTAATTACCCCCCATTCTCCCCTCCCCTATCCCATCCTCCCCATCCTCTCCTTTTTCCATTCCTCTTCCTCCTCCTCACCCCTCCCTTTTGCCCTTCCTCTTTTTGGCCTTTGGGATTTCTCCCACAGGCGCGCTAGTTCCTAGGTAGGGGAAAGGACACCGGGGTCCATCCCATTCCTTTGAGGTTCTTGGTGGTGGCATAGTTTGCCGTGGAATCTGGATTGCCTGGGGATGTCCCGATCCCTCTCCGGTATCCCGGAGTAGCTTTGGGTGTCTTTCGGGCGACGGGTGTATCTCTGGAAGCCACCTTTCAGATTCCGGGGGTGGTGGCCGAAGGAGGTATGCTTTGTGGCGGATATCCGGCCGCCCTCTCTTTTGCCCACCGAGGTAGCTCGGCAGATGTGAGGTTGCTATCCCGGATTGCTGGTTTACTGGCATGAAGGGTAGGGTATGGCACGGGTTCCATGCTGCATCTGCGCTACTAGCGGTGTTGAGGTCCTCTTGGGCGCGGAGGGAGATTTCCGGCCCTTTCATTCCTCCTGGGAACTATTCCTCCCTGCTCCCCCCTTTTTTTATTCTTTTTTTTTATTTTTATTTTCTTTTCTTCTTTCTTTTTTTTTTAAAAACAAAAAAGCAAAGGAGTAACCTAACCATGGCAGCCCTAGTCCATGAACCCACTAGCCCCGGACCCCTTCTTGATACCGCACCCCATTCTGACCCTGCCTTGTGTTTAGACCACTCTTCGGACACT